ATGATGGTCCATGACAGATGTATTCACAACAAACATAGGTTTATGTTAACTCATTTCAGGTTTGATTTAAATTATATGTTCTAGGAGACAAAGACCAGATAAGCCAACTTCAGGAAAACAGTTGAGTATAACTATTTTAGGTGTACCTCTATTTATCAGCTAAATTCATAAAATAGACATTGCATAATTGTCCTTGACCCATTATAATAACTACAGTAAATTCAGTCATTTTTCATATGTTTCTATATATTTTTATTTTTATTTTTTGTGTGTATATTTCCAGGTTATAAAAGCCTTTGGCAACCCAGAGTTCTTTAATATGGTTTTTCCCTTGTTGTTTGATCTATGCAATTCAGAGCCAATAAAGTCTGGGCAAGCACCTTTGGTCAGTGATGCTGCTGAATCAGGTTATGATAAATTCTAGATCTTCATTTATATGATACAAGTTTTGTTCCTCATATGAGATGGTCTGTGACCATCCATGAAACATTTAATGCTGTTTCAATTGTTCTGATGCACACTGTGATCACTACTCTTGGCTTAGCGAAAATCCCCTTGTTACACTTGTTTTTTGTAGGACACCAATCCTATTTTTCGAGGGAAGTTTTTTGGTATTTCAATCATTATTTGAAAGATATGGTTTCAAATATGAGGCCTATTATGTTTTATTTTTGAGCTTATAAATTATTTAATTTAGTTTGGATGACTTCTAATCCAGTAAACAAGGGTAGAGAAAGACCTAGAAGAATTTTAGAGGAAATTAATAAAAGATATCTGGTGATAAATACTATTTCTGATAATTTAACTTTTTACCGAGCTCTATAACATCATGTGATCCATATAGCAGATCTCACCTAGTAGGACAAAGTTTAAGTATTGTTTTCTTTATAGTATTCAAAATCACTCTTATCCCTCAATAGCGGTTTTGGGATTGGCCCACTGAGTGCCATTAAATAAATGTGAATATCCTTTGTCCTCTTTCTTTGACCTGTCTCTTGTTGTAGTCATTGTAGCATCTCATAAGAAATAAGGGTTAGTGATGAAGGGTTCTGCTTTGGATTATTTTCTTTGTTAGAAAGTTTGATTTCAAGATATTTCTAGCTTCTATTTTACTTTGAAGTTAAAACAGATCAAGACTGATTGGTTCTTGGTGTAAAGCTTCTCTCAGTATTATGTGGTTCTGATGAGTAAAAATTTGGGCTTTGCTACTATGTATTCCCCTAGGAAGAAATTGAAAAGTTTATCATCCAGGAACTTGATAAAGTGGATGATTATTGTCCTAGTGAGCGTTACTGTTAAATGGATGTATCAAATGACAAGCCACTTTAATCACTTGACCGTTCCTTGTTACATTGATTTGTGATCTGCTCAGTGCTACTGACTACAAAAATTTTGACATCTTTTTTGCAGAGTTGGACAGTGTTGAAGAGATTTCTGTTCCACAGAACAAAATTGCAGACTGTCTTACCTCTTGTATCCATGTGGCACATATAAATGATATTCTTGAAAAGCAAAAGAGCTTACTGCACATGTATGCAGCATTCCTGGTACCTGAACATAAATGGACTGGTATATTCTTTATACTTGTTTTTTTTATGTTTTACGAAGTCCCTTCCAGGTTTTTTTAACCTTGATTTAAGAAAGAAATCTTTGTGCAGTCAAAACTACAGCCTTTTTATCCATCAAAGAACTTTGCTCAAGGCTCCACACCGTTCCGGGAAATCATGAACTTGGTGGTGTAACTTCCTTTGTTCAGGAGGTAATGGAGGTTTACATTTCAATTGGACTTCTAATAACTTCAATTCATGAATGATCTAAAATCAAGTTTATTTTTTTTCAGATGTTTCATTCTATATCACCAAAAATACTACATTGCATAAGCACAATAAAAATTGCACAGGTACGTCACTATCTTTTTTGGTTGAACATAATTCATCAGTTAGCTTCCCCTACCCTATTGTAGTCAAAACCTAATCTGCATTTGTTTGGTATTAATTTTAATTGGGTAAAATCTTAGATCTGAATTGGGTGGCTTCAATAGGGAACACAATTGATTATAGTGTAATGAGTCAGAAGTGCAATTTAAACTGGAAATCATACAATATTTTATGATACGTTTACTGAAACATGTTCCAAAAACTTGTGTTTGTACAGTTCAAATTTTTGTATGTGTGTGTGTGTGTGTACAGTGATAAAATTATGGAAAGCATTACATAATCCTTGTTAGGGATTCAATTTTTTTCCCCAAGATTAAGATCATCGGGAGAGTGGATGAAATTGTTCAGTTTTCACCTTTGCTAGGTGTGCTCATTAGTCTTGATGTAATGATATGGGATATATTAGTAATTGAGGCATGTATCAGTTTGCGGGTGCCTTCTTTTTCGCATGTATAACCTAAAAAGGTTGGAGAATTCCGGACAGGTGAATAGAAGCCCATTAATCTATTTTATTTTACCCTGTCATTAATACTAAATGTGAATACAGTGTGTCAAGAAATTTACTAGATACATTAAATTTGGTTGCCTACTAGCCTTATCTAGCAAAAGCAGATTAAGGAATAAAACGGAAGCAAAATGAAAAGTTGAGAGACTAGAAATTTTCGAACTTTACGGAACAAGATTAACAGAGTAACCAAAATTTAGGGATTGATTTGTAACTTCTTCTTTGCGTGATGTTCTTATCATCGTTTACAAGTGGTGATTGTTTCAGTACTCTAATTGGTCGCTGATATTTTGATTTCATATTCTATGCATTTGTTGTGCTCCCAATTTAGGTTCATGTTTCAGCTTCAGAATGTCTTCTGGAAGTCCTGAAACTTTCCATCGATGTTTCGTTGGTTACCGCCATCGATGAAGGATTCAAGGAAGAGCTGCTTCATCAATACGAGATAGAGAAGAACGAAGAGGCAAAGTCGTTATTAAGGAAGTGTGTCCGCATTCTTCAAGACTGGAAAAAATAAATTATATGAGCTATAGCCTGTAAACCTTGTTTATGAAGTTTTGAGAAGATGAAAAATTTAACAAGCTGATAAATGACTATGCCTAGTGCTTGTTGATATTCGATAGGAGTTTGGTGTAGGGGGTCAGTAAACAGGTCATATTAGCAATTGTAACAACAGAGATGGCAGACGCTCTCAATCCTTCCTTATATATTGTCCTGTTCTGTAAATACTTCTAAAAACATATCTATTATTTTCTTTAATAAATAATTTATATTTTTAAAAAGATTGAATTTGTATTTCACCTTTTGCAACATAATCATTTCTTTTTTTTTGTTTGTAATTCATTTTTCTTAACATAATGCTTAGAGTACACTTTGTTTTTGAAGACAAAATTTAAATATTTTAAATTTGTGTTAATCTCTAATTAAAATTGAAGTCTCAGTTTAGTAATTAATGTCAAATTTTTATCTGTCTTATTGAGATAAAATTTTAATTTTAATTAGAAGATAGTATTAAAAGTATATATAAATGTGTACATAAGTTTGGTCTTAATTTTAATTGCAAGATTGTTTTGTAGGCATCTTACAAGAGCTTTATAATGATAAAACAAATACTTTTCTAAATAAGATTTTGTTAATGAGCACAAAAAAAAAAAAAAAACTATAATTCATTTTGTCAAATAAATATTCATTTGCTAAGGAGTTTGTTGATCTGGTTAACTTTTACCTTTTGGTAATTTCATGACTTGATTTTCTTTTTCATTTAGTACGGGGTGGTGGAGGAAGATGACTGGTAATTTAAATATAATTTGTTTAGCAAAGTTAATGGTTTGTCTTAATTTTAAAATGAAAAGTCTTTTCTGATTCTAAAACTTAAGGAATACAAAATAAAATTAAGAAAAAAAATCACTCTTAACTTTTAAAATTATTTTTAGGAAGTATTTTTGTATTTTTAAATATTAATATTTTATAAATTCTTGATGGATTAAGGTATTTCTATAGATAGACTTCTTTTTCTTTAGTTTATAGCTCATTTTAGAGCATGTAGGGTGTATTTTTAACTTGATTTTCTAGTTAGTAAATTTGTGTGCACTTTTTTTTTTCTATAATATCCTCTAAATAATTTTTTAATCATAAGGAACATTTTGACAAATTTGTTACTACAAAGTTTTTTTTATTTTCAATGCATTTCCAAACTTACATTTAAATTCTATTTGGCCATTCTATTTTCCGTATCTTTGTGACCTTTCTCTACTTCATCTTCATAATATATTTATAATTTTATTAACAAATGCGAGATATATTTTACATACGATGCTATTACAATATTAATAAAATAACTTTTTTATCTTTCTTTATGTATCATTTATAATTATTTGACTTAGATACTTAACTTTTTCTTTCTCAAATCTTCTTATTTGACAGTTATAATATAATAAAAAATGAAATGAAATTTTAATAAGAATAAAATAAAATAAACGCATAGTATAATCTTTTTTTATAATAAACTAAATAATTGTTATCTTATGTTATATATTCTTAAATTCATAGGATATAAGATAAATATATTTTTTTTATCTTGTAACTAAACAAATATTAAAAATAAGATAAGATAGAAATAAATATCTTATTGTATTTTCTTATTTTTTATTTTTTATTTATTTTTTAAAATATCACAATTTATTTAATATTAAAAAATATATATACAAAATTTTGAAAAGCAATTAGTTAAAATTACTTGTTATTATTATATGAGAATTACTTACATTATTTGGAAGAAGAATATTAAACACGGTAAAAAATAATTGTTTTATTTCCATCATAATCAAATTGACAAACTATATACACACTTTTTATTTTGTAAGACATTTTTTGGTAAAATTCTTCTCTTTTTTTTTTGTAAGATATTACATACACCTTAAAAAAAATTAAAAAATAATTGATCATATAATTTGAGGACTTATTTATTTAAAAAATAAAAAAATTTATATACTTTAATAAAAAAAAATGTTATAAATAAAATAATTTAAATTTATTTATTTACCTATCTCTAACGTAAAATTCAGGCAGTGAGTGAGCGTGGTTGTGTTTCTCCGTCAGAAGAAGAAAGGTATGCACTTTGCAGTCAACCATGGATGAAGCTCAATTTCAACGCCTTCTTCAACTCTTCCCCGTCGTCCGGTCTCGCGATTACTGTGTACTTATCTTTCTCTCTTCCATTCGTTTGTGCGTTTTAGGGTTTATAATTTTATTGGCTCTCCTTGTTTTTTGATCTGTATTGCTCTGATTCACCAATCTCACTTCGCTGTTTATTGAAGTTTCGATTTTTCAGAAGCCCATGTTGTGATTTTTGGTGGCACACATGCTGCTTCTCTATTGCTGTGATACCCATTTTTTGCTCTGACGTTGGTTCAAGGTGGTAGTTTTAGATTGATGTATTTGCAGTGTCTGAATTTATGTGGAAATTTGAGATGGGTGTAACCTAAAGGAAGAGGGTTGCATAATATACGAGAGGGGTGACATTAATTGGGTGGATTTGATAAGTAAAGATATGGTTCCAGTTTCAGGGGTGAAATTGGGGAATTCAAATCAGAACCAATTAATGTTATCTGATTTTGTTTCGATTCTTATTTGATGCATAGATTGGAATAATTTTCCATCTTTTGTCCGTTTTCATTCTTGGTATAAATTATGCATTGCATTGGCGTTTTATTGGAAATTAGGAATCATTACTTGTTATTTTTTGTTTAACCTTAAAAGTTTTCAGATAGGTGAACGTTTGGCATATATATTATTTTCTGAATTTGAATTACTGATTACCACAACATACTCTGATACCATGTGATGCAAAAACAAAATTTTGGATTTTTTGGTTTAAGTAACTTACAAAATCCTATACTTAAAGAATGAATTCAGGTGCCAAATTGATGACTATTGAATTTCAGGCAGAACCAGAATCATCCAGACAATTTGCATCTGGGTCAGGACAGGATGAGGTAGTAGTGCTTAACTTGTAACTATTGTATGCTTTGATGTCTGCATATATATTCAATGCTAGCTAACAAAGTTGTCGCTGCAGCTAAAGGAATGGCAAGATGCATGGGATGGAGGGGATAAGGATGTTGAGAAACAAGGAATTAACCAACATGGTATCACTTATTCACAATCTATTAGACATTTCAATCAAATTTAATTTTGTAGAAAGCATGTAAAGTTTACAAACTACATGTTGTCAATTATCTTGGTTAAATTATAACAATTTACAGAATTGTGTTTTTGAAATTAATGCTATGCTTGTATAAATTCTTCAAATCTACAGATTCATTTTGGAGCAAGCTAAGGTCAGAGGCTGCTAGGAAGGTATTCTGAAATTTACCTGTTGGCTGTTATTATATGCATTCTGATTTTGTATAACAATTAGAGTCATCGTTAAGAATAGTAGACAGTGCCATTGCTTCCTTCCCATGGTAACAGTGACTTAGTAGACTTGATTTACAAGCTCAGTGAAAATTTCATTTAATTTAGATGATCTTGTAAAGATAGGTTAGAAGCATTCTATTTACTGTGAAATGGCTTTCTTTTTTGTTATAGGAGAGAAGCATTCTAATTAACATTTCTATGTATGAATAATTTTTGGTTTTCAGCATTTCTCTCTTTTGTAATATTGTTAGTGAGGGCTACATATAGTAGTGGGGGGTATGCCATTGTGTCTTTGCTATAACATTGATGGTGATGTAATGGGTGATTTATGGCATTTACCTGTGACTGATTATTAAAAAAGTTGTCCAGAAGACTTTAGAACGAGACTCAGTTCATTGATTCTAATGTTACAACAGGTGGGTGAAGAAGAAGCAGACAGATTTTGCAAGGCGTTCCAACAAATTCATAAGAAACTAGTATGTATAAAATAGTTGTCATTTTGGTCTGTGTTTCATGGAAAATATTATGAAAGACATATTCTGTAGGATATAGTTTCTTCTTGGAAAGCATTTTTGGTGTTATTGTCTAAAACAATATGAATTCAGAAAAGTGTATTATTTTCTTTGAAAATTGAGCTCTTTTTGGGAGGGCTTTTCTTCAGGGATTGACATTTATTGTTTAGGAAAATAATTTTGTGAACTGCATAGACTTTAGAATAATTTGGGAGAGGGTTTTTGAAGAGGAAGAGAGGACAAAACAATTTTTTATATATCATTTATGATAATAAATATATTATTTAATACATTAAATTTATATTAATCTATTACTTTGGATCTTAACTTAAAATGTTTTTATTTAAAATGAAAAATTTTTGCTCTTCCAAAACCCCGTCTTTCCCAAACAATTCCTTAAACTAAGTTTGATTATTAGTATTATGTTTGATGAAAATTTCTTTCCTTGTTTTATTTTATTAGGTCAATGAAGATTTGAGTTTAGATGCAGCTCATAGCTTGTTAAACTCATCCTAGAGTTCCAAAGAATTACATGCATGCACTCCACATTTCCATGCGATTCAGCGATCAGCCACTGTAATTCTTGTGTACTGTATCAACGTATTTGATAATTTAACATCTATGACATTTTGAGTGGTAGATTATTTATATTTGTATTGTTAAGAAATAGTTCCTTTCTCTCTTTTTCCTCTTTTCTTTTTTATGATTCATTTTACTTGTTTGAACTTTATTGTTTTTCTTTGCCTATAAGCTGGAGTCTGCATGCATCATATAAGTGAGGAAATTTCTTTCTTCATACTCTAAACTTCATTCAAATCTGCTTGTACAACATAATTCAAAATGAGGCATTAATTCCTGATTGTTGGTATGGTCTATATATACAGTGAATAACAGCTTTTAAAATACTGATTAAAAAAAAATGTTGTGGCCTTGTGACAAGACAGAACCAAATATTGACCGTATGATGTCTGTAAAGAAAATCAATCACATGGGAGGAAATGTCTTTCCATTTAAGAATTAATATCTAATGAGTAATGAATAAAACAATACCAACACAATTTTTTTAATATTAATGAAAAACAAGATTCTAATGCGGCATAATTGCGTGTTAGAATGGAGCAGAATATCGGACCCAAAAACAGAAAATAAAATGGAACAGAGTAGATGTTGAGAGGTTCATTTTTTATAAATGTTTTTTTAATGTGTGCTTTTAGACGTATAATTATCAATAATTAAATTTTTATTAAAAGTTATACTATTAATGCTATAATACATTAAATTTTGTTATATTAAAAAAATATTAAGACAATTTTTATCATGTGGTCTTATACATCCGTTAGAAAAAATTTCTTTTTGAAACGTCACTTTTGATGAGAAAATGTTGTGACTAAAGTATAAATAACCTCTAAACATAGTTAAAGAGAACTTTGTGTTAAATGCTATTGAAGAAAAAACGCCACATTTTTCTTTCTTATTTTACAATAGAAAACGAAAGGTTGAAGAAGTAGTTACCTATGTAAACCAGATAAATTTGGCATATTATAAAATAAACAAAACTACTAAGACAGCAAAAACAAGTAAGAAGTAGCCACTTATGGATCATTTGTGAAGTGGGTGGGTGAGTTGGTCTGAAGAAGCATTATTAAAATAAGGATAGCGCCGGCTCAAGGTCTATGCTTATGATTCCATTTTTTTGGAGGACTCGCATACATAATATATAATATTTGTTAAAAGTTTATGCTAAATTTAGAGCATATTTGTTTTCAATTAAACATACCTTTAATGTTTAAGATTTTAGATAAATTTTCTTACATTTTAAGAAGATAATCAATAGATAATTTTTATATTTAATGAATATTATGTTTTTAATAAAAATATTAACTATAGATAATTTATAAAATATAATTAATGATTCATGTTACTTTATCTTCAACTGAAATAATTTTTAAATAAATAATAATAAAATCTTATCGCCACTCAAATATGTCTAAAAATAATTAAATAATTCATTTATTTCGTTAACTGAAAAGATTTAGTTTTTAAATTTGATTCGAAAAATTTAGTAGTCAATTTTTCATCATAAAAAGAAAATAAAGTATAAAAATATTTATCAAAATACTTCTAATGTGATTTTTGTATATAATCTCAAATACCTTCTAGTTAGCCTGAATAATGATATTGATTAAAATTAATATCTACACATCTAAAGAGTCCATTTATTATATAAGTAATGTTAACAACACATTATTTAATACACACTTTTTAACACATACTTTATTATTAGTTGAAATCATATGGGTTCACTCTTTTTTATTTTTAAAAAAATATTTATATTTTTTAATAAATTTTAAAAGTACATGTTAAAATGTGTATGTGTTTTAAACAATGTGTTGGTAACATTACTTTTTATTGTATAGATATATTCACAATTTTATGAGATATTTAACTGATTACTTTATTATATCTTAAATATTTATGTTATGTTTATACCCTTTTTAAGAGACTTGTTTATTTGATTTCAGATGATATATTTTTATCAATAATTTATAAATAAGTAATGTTACTCTCAACCAAAAATAAATAAAAAGCCTAAAAAATAAAGAATGTAATAAATTTGCAATAAGTATCACAACTTCTTCCGCAGTAGCGCACTTTGGCTAATTCAATAGTGAATTTCCGGGTTCGAATCCCGGCTGCGGAACACTTGTTTTTGAATTTTGTTTATTCTTTAAATAAATAGTATTATTGTAAATATAATAAAATTAATAAATCACCAAACAAGGTCACTTAGTAGACTACGAAATTTAATCATGTCATCTTAAAAGTTTGTCACCATTAAAATAACTTAATTTATAATACATTTTATATTTTTAAAAAGTTTTTTTTTTAAAACTTACAGAACATAATAGTTTAGTATAAACTTCTCTATAGATAAAAACAGTGTAATTTATTCAAACCAAAGCACCAATTATTCATGATTTTTTTTATTAATTAAATAAAATAACCTTTTAATATGTATATAATAATACAAAATAAAAATTTATATATAATACTTTTTATTAAAAATATATAATCTAATCTATTAGTAATATTAAATATTATAATTTTTAATAATTTTTATTATTTATTAATTATTTAAAATATACTTAATAGTACACATTAAAAATATGTTACTTAAATTAACAAATTTTGTTCTTAAAAGTCAAATAGTTAATTGATTTTGTCATGAATGAGGGTTGACAGGCGTTCATTTTAATTGGCTTAGTTGGTTGTTGGCAGAAACTCTTCTACCTGTCTCGGTTGCACCAATCTAACACCCTCACCTTTTTCCCCTCTAAAAGAAATAAAATAATATTAACAATAAATAAGTAAATTAAATAATATCCTCACATTTTTTACAATAATAAAAAATAAAATATTTAAACAATTGATAATAATAAATTTTTAAAAAAATTATTTATTATATTTTTGTACTTTTAATATAATAAATATATATTTTTTTGTAAAAAATTTCTATTTATAAATATTTAAACTTTTTAAGTTTACAAAAACCCATAAAAAACATAAAACATCAGTTTACTTAAGTTCAAACTTTCAAAATTATCCATATGATTTTCGTGGGATGGATTTCAAATCCATGAATATGGAATAGGCCACTGAGTTTTGATGCCCACCACATTTAGAGAAAAAATATATATTTTTCTTATTTGTGAGGTGAGAAGATATTAAAATAAATATGAATTTACGAGGGAATTGAGAAAATAAAAAAAATAATTGAAAAAGAAATTAGTTGGAATAGAAGGGAGGGAAAGATGATTGAATAGCAACCAACTACCAACTGAAAACTTCTCTCTCTGAATGTGTCTGTCTGTCTTTATTGAATTGAAACAAAAAGTCAGTCACGTTTCGTTTCTCTTCATTCCTACACTTCTTCTTCATCTACCCTCTCCTCTTTTCATTCTCCATTTCCCCCCAATTTCTAGGGTTACCCTTTCTCTCCTTCCAGGTCTGTCTGCTTCTTCCCATTCTCTATTTTCTTGGGTCTCAAAGGAATTTGCCACCCAAAGTCTCAAATTAATAAAAAAATAATTTTTATTTTTCTGCACTCTTCATTGAGTGTGATTGTTTCCCTTTCAGTGCCTTTTTGTTTTGGGTTTGTTCATTTATTTATTTGTGAAGCTGAATTTCAACTGTGAGTTCTTCCTCTTGTTTTTCTGGTCAATTGTGATAATTTTTCTTTGTGATCTTGAAACAAACAATGCCTATTTTTATTTAGGGGTGGAGGGTTGTGATCTAGATCTTAAAAAGACAACATTTTCCTATTTGATACTATGTTTCCCAAAGATACACTTTTTACTTGATGTTGAGAAAATCAAAACAGAACAAGCAAATTTTGATGTGCTTATTAGAAACTTGGTTGATGATTAAATTTTATGTGATTGATTACCTTTCTGTGACTAAGGGTATCCTTGTTTGAGTAGGTGGAAAGTGGGAATGAAAATCACTTCAAACTTGCTTTGTACAACTCAAATGTGGGAAGGTTGTAAGTTAAGTGCAACTCATTTACGTTCCAACCACAACTCTTTTGATCACTCCTATAGCATGAAAGCGAGTTGAAAGTGGTTTTCTGCTCTCAACAAAGAGTTGAGGATTGAAAATTAAAAGATTTCTATCTAACTACATTTCACTTTCCTCCACATTTTCCACCTTCTCAGACAAGCATTGCCTTGGTCAATTGAAGATAATTATGATTCTGTTTCCTTTCATGATCCATGGAATTTTAATTTGCATCCAGTTCTTTTACTGCTTTTTATATGATATGGCATCTTCTGTAGTAAATGGATTTTATAAAAGGCAACTAATTTATCTCGCAATTTTTACTGATTGTGAAGAAAAACCTGAAGTTAGAAGAGTATTACTTGCCATTAAATTTCCCTTAGTGGAGATGAATAGACGCATGATATGCACATAAAAATGTTTTAATTAAGATTTTGATTCACAGTAATTACTCTCATACATTTTTCCAGTTGTCTTTAACGCGTACAATTCACCATGTCAAGCTTGGAGGAACCACTTGGTCTTGACAAGTTGCCAAGCATGAGTACCATTGATAGGATTCAGAGGTTCTCATCTGGTGCTTGCTGTCCCAGAATAGATAATTTGGGCATGGGAAACTGCTGGATTGAAGGGCGAAGTTGCAGCACATCTAACAGCTGCAAGTGAGTAAAATAATGCAACTTACGTTAGACACTGGATACAATTTATTGCTCTACCATTCAACCTCTTTTTGTCCTCATTAACATTCTAATCGCTGTCACCTGCCTAGTATATCATAATAACTTCTATCATTATGCAGTGAAGATGATGAAGAGACATTTCCTTGGAGAAGACATACTAGAGACTTATCCCGAGATGACGCTTTCAGTCAGAAAACTCCAACCAAAGGGAGGAACTCAATGAACTTCGGAATGATTGATGATTCATTCTCTGATCGCCATTACAGTTCAAAATTCAATAACAAAGACTTGCAAGGTTTGGCTTATAAGGTAATTAAAAATTCATGTTTTCAATTAAACAACATATTTTAAACTTTCTGTTGTCAGTTTATTTTATCCCCTTTCCTTGTTTGGTAATTAGCATACTTTCAGTTTTTTATTGGATAATGGCTTGATGCAGTTTCTGAATGGTATACCAAGGTTTGTAAAAATAGTAGAAGTTGGCCCAAGGGATGGATTACAAAATGAGAAGAACATTGTACCTACAGCTGTAAAGATTGAATTGATTCATAGACTAGCTTCTTCTGGGTTATCTGTTATTGAGGCTACAAGTTTTGTATCTCCCAAATGGGTCCCACAGGTTAATGCTTTTACCTTTTTTACTATAACCTGACATTGATGATTTTTTAGAATGATTCATGGATCAACTGGTGTTCAATACGGATGATTTTGGACAACTTATATTGGACAAAAGCCAATTGAAAATGAATTCTATCTGATTTGTTTCTTTGTCTTATAGTTGGCTGATGCAAAGGATGTAATGCAAGCAGTACATAACTTGAGAGGCATCAGATTGCCAGTTCTGACTCCTAATTTAAAGGTACGCATAGATAACCATATAGAGGAGGAGTTTATATTCAGATCTCTTAAGTCTTACTCATTACATTTATAGGGTTTTGAAGCTGCTATAGCTGCTGGTGCTAGAGAAGTAGCTATTTTTGCATCAGCTTCTGAATCATTTTCCAAATCAAACATTAACTGTAGTATTGAAGAGAGCCTTGCTCGTTATCGAGCTGTTACACGTGCTGCTAAAGAACTCTCAATTCCTGTTCGAGGGTATGCCTTTTATTTTCTTTTTGATTATTCGATTACATCATAGTAGTGTCTGCTTCAATGGTTTTACTAGGCAAGGCCTTTCTTGATTTATTTAAAAGGTGACCAAGTCAAGGTCATTTGATGCATGAAAGTTCCATTGGTGGATGTTGTAAACTTCTCTAACACACATTCTGTGTATTCCACATTCTAATTAATTTCCTTTTATTGAGATGTCATAGGTATGTATCATGTGTTGCTGGATGCCCTGTGGAAGGACCAATCCCCCCCTCAAAAGTTGCATATGTTGCTAAAGAACTATATGATATGGGTTGCTTTGAAATCTCCCTTGGTGACACAATTGGAGTTGGCACACCAGGTAACAAGCTAGATGAATTTTGAACTTTTAAAGTTTAATTGATCCATGTTTGATACAATAGCTGTGGTGGATTTCTTTCATTTTGTTGATAGACAAGATTCTCTATTCTTGTAGACTTTCTTTTGAGGTATGAACTTGATAAGGTGAAAATGTCAATTATTGGCTGAACCTGGGGATGAATGTCAACCTACATGTTTTTGTATTTTTTATCAAAATATGTTATTTGGTTTCTTGTATATGATCCTTGTACTTATATTGTTTCCTGTTCATTCTGTCTTGTTCAGGAGCTGTAGTTCCTATGCTCTTGGCTGTACTGGCTGTTGTTCCAATAGACAAGCTTGCTGTCCACTTCCATGACACTTATGGGCAATCCCTTCCAAATATACTTGTGTCCCTCCAAGTATGTCCTTCGCCTATTCTACGTATATGTGTGTGGATTAAATGTAAAACAAAAGATACTTTAATAATTAATTATATTTATAATCAATTATTGGTATAATTAATTATAAAAATGAATTTTATATTTTGATATGGTGAAGGGTCGTTTTGAGAGATTATTTCATTCAAGTTGGTAATGCAGCAGTTTCAACTTCATAAGAGTCAGATTTTCTTAATCCTGGTCAACATCTCTTGTTCTGCCACTCTTATTAACAATCATAAATGGATATTAATTTGCATTTGAACAGATGGGGATTAGTACAGTGGATTCCTCTGTTGCTGGTCTTGGTGGGTGTCCATATGCCAAGGGTGCTTCAGGAAATGTTGCTACTGAAGATGTGGTTTACATGTTGAATGGGCTTGGTGTCAAAACCAACGTTGATCTTAGAAAGCTTATGCTAGCTGGTGACTACATCAGCAACCATTTGGGGCGCCCATCCACTTCTAAGACTGCCATTGCCTTCAACCGACCCACAAATTGTGCCTCCAATTTATCATATTAAGGTTATTCAACTTTGTAATTTTGTCTAAAGAGTGCTACTAAATATAGTAGTAACTCCCCTTTGCAAAATATTATTTTGTTTGGTTTCTATAAAAGATTTTTGGAATCTAATATTGAGGGAGAATTATTGAGTTACGGGCTAGAGTGAGTGACCTTATCTAAAATATCTGAAGTTTTTTGAAATAAAGTTCTCTTACATAGCATTTGATTTGTTGTTAGCCAACCAACATGAAACTTGATATCTCAATGATTTTAAAAGGAAGAAGCATGCTTGTAATAAAATTTATCAAGATGAGTTTAAACAGTGCTTGTATATGCACGTGAAATTAACAATATTAAATATACGCATAAGATGGTCATTTTTATGGGTTGATTTAGAAATTTAGAATATGAAAACTCAGAGATTTAAAATTTTTAATTCATTTCCACAGACGGGATTCGCACCCCGGAAAATCCACGTGTTAGGTTGTCATTATGTTGCAACTAATCTAATATAGTAGTTTTACCTTCACTCTATTGGTTGTACACAGCATTATGCAAAAATAATTTACTTTCTCTAATAAGCCTAGCATAAATTATCAAAAAGATTTATTGTTAATTTTTATTTTAAAAATGGTCATTAGTGCAATAAATAATTTTTTAAGTTGACATCACTTATTCAAAAAATCAGATAAAAATTCAAAATAATTTTCCACAGCCGGGATTCGAACCTGGAAACATTCAGCAAGGGAAGTTTTCCAAGTGTGCTACTGCGGATGAATAATATTATTCTTCATTATACAGTTTCAGAAAGAAAAAGTTAAAAAAAAAAAAAAAGTTCTTAGCAGAAGAGACAATTGGTAAAATCCATCCCTTCTCAATTTAAAAATTTAGAAAAAGTTCAAAACAATTTTCCGCAGCCGGGAATCATTCAGCAGGGAATTTTTCCAAGTGTTCATCCTTATACAATGTTAACACACATAGATATAATTAAGCCTAATTCTGTAGCAGGTAGGTGTAAAGAAAACTCATTCAACGATTCTTGTAATTACGCTTTACAAGACAACCAAAAACATCTAGCCCATTTTGCGGGCATGCTGATCAAGAAATTTTATCTTTCCAAAGTGTTGATCTAGTTTTTTTGGTGTCAAAACTTGTCAGCAATTATCCAGCTTATTTGTCTTTGACTATATGGAAGTTTATTGGCTGCTATGTCTGGTATTTTAGTCATCACTACTATATTTATACACCTACTTGCCCCACTTTCTTTTCCTCAACAATGCACAAAATGCTAAAGTCAATGCAACTGAGTTTCATATATGTAAAAGTTTTAATTAAAGTGTACGTGGTAACTAACTTATGGGTTGTGCATAGATTTTAAATAGTAAAATTACTATTCAATCACCGCTATTATCGTATGGAACCAACAATAGGATTGCCTTTAACAACAGTAAAGGTCCCATGCATGCCTAATTATTGATTTCAGAAATTTATCTCAAGCCAGGGATAGTTTCATTCTAGGAACCAAGGTCAAGAAACTATGCCACTTTTTTTTAGGTATAAGCATTTGAGATCCCAATTATGCTAGAGGGGAGTCATGACTTTGACCAGTAAAAAAGGGAAACTAAAAGCAAAATGCAAAGTAAGAAAGAGGCCTTAATTATTTGCTTTTGCTTGTGCACCAATTTATTTCCTTGCCTTAATGATAGCCTTATGTACTCAACAAATTCTTTGTTTTTTTTTTCCTTAAGAAAAAGATAAATTTCGCCTATTTTGTCAGTCAAGGCTCAAAGCTACTTAACACGATCAGAAGATGATCATTTAGCTCCCTTTCTCAACTCAACTTTGAGAGTGGTGGGTGTCTCTCATCATGATGAAGCTTTGTCTTTGATAATGCCATAATTAAGTTTTGTGAGTGTTATACAGGTAATATGTATAACATGCATGGCCAATGTTGAAGAGTTGAAGGAAAGCACTAGTGCATGATGGCATTAGGGTGTTTAACATGCTATGGACTTCTTTTTTCATTATTATATAGGATTTGCATTATATGTAGAAGGATGCATCCTCATAGCAGTGTTGGCACGAGCTAGCAATTGCACATAATCACACAATGACAGAAACTACAATTTAGCATTCCAAAAAGACCAAGGTTATTTTTAGTGTTTGTGAGTGTGTGTGTGTGGGGTGGGGGTGGCTAAAATCCAAAAAGATAAAGTACCACACCTCATTCGAATGCACACATATGATTCACTTCCATTTGGGTTTAAGTGGTCACACCTACTTTTAGTTTTTCAACTCAAACAGTGTCTATTTTAAAAATAAGGAGAAATTTATTTTTACCCTTCTTTCTGTCCTATGTTGATGAGATTCAAAAATTGAAATCTTTTTAAGTTAAATACATAATGCTTAATCATTGAATCTTTATTTTAAAAGCAAATATTATATATAGAGAATGCTAAACAAATCATAATTTATTACCATGCTAGTATCACCTTCACCCTGGTAAGGTTGGAAATTAAGATAATAATTTTACACACCAATTAACTTCATAATTTCCCACGAATATGTATCTATACTCACAAAAAAATAAAATAAATCATAATGTTAAACTAAGTAAATTCTAAGTGATGAGTGTATTGTGTCTGTGCTTGTTCTGGGAATGGGAAGTAAGGGCAGGGGAATGACCTGTCTCTTGCCAGGAGCCAGTTCATTCAATCCCATTTTCCGATAGAGTGATTTCAGAAATTCATGTTTAGGTTCATATGAAATGCTTGTTATAAAAACCATGCCATCACATTCAACTAACATAAAAAGGCAAAAGCATGTAATCTACAAAAGTAGATTTTTCAATATATTCTGCCAAAATTTTCTTGTCATAAAGCCAAGGGGCTTTCCATCAAAGAGAGTAAAACAAATTTAAAAATGCCCACAACCAAAAGCCACGAACTTTTTCCCTTGTGTAAAGTAAATGAAGACAACATCATTCTTTGCAAGAAAAAGAATCATGTACTCATTTTCAACATTTCCATGCCTTATTTGTCAAACCCCCCACCAGTTTGACCAAATTATTATTCTTTTCACTAATCATGCTTCAATCCCGACATAAATGCACTATATTTTCTTTTCTAAATGTCCACCGCGATCTCATGCCTTATGAATCAAACAATATGCTAAAATAAGACTAAACAGCGAGACAAACTCTACAGCAACAGAAAGATAACCCAAGAACTTATGAAATTGCTGAAGCCAAAATTAACATTAGTGTTACTAGATTTCCTCCGTGCCAAAAAAAAATAAAATTTCAGAGCCAAAAATCCTGGGTAGCACTTGAACATCCTTCTAATTTTCTCTGTTTTGGAAGTTTGTACTTTGCAGCGACATGAACCTAGTTAATTGCTTTTTGTTTAATGGTAAAAACCCAATTGCTTTGGCACTTCGGTTGATTAGGGGATTCCACCCCATATTTCAAATTTACTCTTGATGGATTACTAGAAGTGTGGAGCTAAGGCACTTTTATCTACTACATGTTTCAATAACGTTTTAATCTTTTAAGAATGCAACATGCATCCAGTGAGTACATTTTCATATATATAAGCTAAGAACAAATGTTATTTATACCCTTCTTATAATCCTTATACAATCAACTTTTTCTTCTACATACTTTTGAGTTCTAGTGTTATTTCCCTCTAAAGCAGATTACCTTACTCCTTGTAATTTAACAATTCCACTCAATGAATTTTTTTCCTTTTTAATTATACACAAATCTCTTTCAAACTATACAATAGTACAACATTGCATATCATTTTAGCTAATACAATCTCTCCTAATATTTTACACAACTGCACAAATTGAAAGAGGTAAAAGGAGTGTTAAAATATATAAAAATAATTTCACGAAATCCTTTGGGTGTGAATGTAATTTCTCTCTCATTTTTAAACACAAAACAGTACAAATTACATAATTTTCTGCAGAAATATGATTATAAAAGTTTAAAAAGAATAATTTACAGATATGATTTAGTTATTTGATCCCCTGACGTTAGATAGATACACAATGATATTCAAGTTCTCTCTCTCTCTCATCTTTTTTCTCATGCAGTAAATATATGGATACATGCACCATAAGTGAACTGAGAACAGCATCACCAAAGGTTTAACAAAAGTAGCAAAGGCTCCTCTTCCTCTTATTCTCTCTCTCTGGTCCATAGTTGTTTCCCAAGTAAAAAGCATCCAAACACACTCTGCACCATATTTATTTGCATTAAGGCACCAACCCCTATGCATATTGACTCACACCTCTCATTGACTATCCTCATTTTCAGAGCTCACACTTCAAGGTTACACACACCATCCAATTTAAAAACACACAATCCGCATACAAGTTACGCACTCTTGAATCGAGCCAAAAGCAGCAAAAAGGACCACCACCTTCAAAGCACCCTTGTTTCCTCTAAGCTTTATTTTTCTGTGTGTTTTTAGTGACACCCTTTTGAATCAGATCCAAAAAGGAGCTAGTTTTGTTTCTTTCTTTACGGGGTTTTGGGCCAATTATAAGTTTTCCATGCACCACTTGAGAGCATGAAGCTGATGAGTATGGCTTGTTTCTTGATGCTACTGTTGATTCTGATCTTGTTCAAAATCTCCTCTGCTGATGATGGTTATGCAAAATCTCAAAGCTTAACCGGGACTTTGTCAAATCTTAGTCCCTTTCATGTTAAAGGAAGTTCAAGACAAAACACAGGTGAAGATGGTGGTGAAGCAGTTCTTGGTGATGAAAAAAGGGTAATCTACACTGGTCCTAATCCTTTACACAACAGATAAGATAATGTTTATAGTTATAAAGGACATGAATTTATTTTATTTTTCCTTCTTCATTTCAAGCTCTCTTTATAATTTGTACATAAATTTGTATTCTTTTATGAGTTCTTCACTTCTCGACATGTTCTTTATCCCCTGCTCTTTCTTATGAGAATTTGTGATTTATTTTTGATGGACCAATTTCTTTTTGTGTATTGTCAATAACCATATGTAAGAACAACGTTGGTTTATGTTACAACCCATTATTAAAGAAAATAATTTTGGCTAATAGTTTTCAATTCCATGATAGTTTTGCATTAAATGCAAAAGTAGAGAAGAGATGCATCAT